GTCAGTGGGCTTCCAAAAACATTCCCTCTACTTTCCACCAAATCTCATCCTATTCCTTTTCACCTACTGAGCGATATTGCTCTAGCAATTTTCACTTTTCCAAAAAAAGTTTCTCTTCTCTTAATCTTCTCATTAGTATATAAATACGATATTTCCCCCCACACTTAAAAAAAACAAAACCTTTTCCTGACACCACTTTCCTTCCAGCTAATACTTTACCAGCTAATCCTCTAATGTTCTCTTCCATTTCACATCAAAGCTTCTCAAGAGTTATCTATTATATTGTCTCCAGTTCCTCTCCTATTCACTCTCTCTTTAAAAATTGAAATATAATTCACATACCATAAAATTAATTCACCCCTTTATTTAAAGTATATGATTCAGTGGTTTTGGTATATTTACAGTGTTGTGCAACTATCACCACTGTCTAATTACAGAATATCTTCATCATCCTAAAGATAAACCCCCTACCCATTAGCAGTCACTTCCCACTCTCTCCTCTGCCTAGTTCCTGGCAACCAATATTTTCTGTCTTTATGGTTTTACCTATTCTAAGCATTTCATATAAACAGAATCATATAGTGTATAGCCTTTCATGTCTGGCTTTTTAAACTTAATATAGTATTTTCAAGGTTCATCCATGTTGTGGTGTTTATTGGTACTTCATTCTTTTTATCGTTGAATATTTCATTGTATCATGGATCAGGGGTCACCAAGACCATCCTCAGGTTTGACGATTCACCAGGACTCATAGGATTCAGCATTTAGTCATACTCTAGGCTATGATTCATTACAAAGAAAACAGGGAAAAGGCAGATGGGGTGAAGTCCACTGGAAACCAGGCACAAGCTATCAAGGGTCCTTTCCCAGTAGAATCAAACAAGGCTTAATTCTCCTAACAGCTGGGGGTTTGTGATGTAGGCTCCCTCTGCCTAATGTGTACTTGTGTTCTAGACTCCTAGAAGGAAAGCAGTAATTCAGCATAAACCACATTGTTGTATAAATAGTATAGGCATAGTGAGCCACCCTTTTCATTTAGAGAATGTTAGGGACACTCCTGAAATCATGTTCCCAGATGCTAGCCAAGGGCCAACCTTATAATCAAGTCATTCAAAACAGAGCAATCAGGCCTGCTATGTTAACTCTCTTATGTGCATGTGGATATACCATATTTTGTTTAATCATTCATCATTTAAAAGACATTTGGATGCTTTTGACTTTTTGAAGGTTATGAATAATTCTATGAACATTAATGTGTAAGTTTTTGTGTAAATATATGTTTTCAGTTCCCTTGTTATACATACCTAGGAATGAAATTGGTGGATCATATGGCAAACTTTTGAGGAGCTGCTAGACTCTTCCAAAGAGGCTACACCATTTTACATTCCTATCAGCATGCATGAGGATTCCGATTTCTCTACATTCTCAGCAACACTTGTTATTGTCTATCTTTTTTTTATAGCCACCCTAGTGGGTGAGAAGTTGTATCTCACTGTGGTTTTGATTTGCATTCCTCTTACATTGAATATCTTTTCTTGTGCATATTGACTGTTTATATGCCTTCTTTGGCGATTTATCACATTCTTTGCCCATTTTAAATAGTTACTTGTCTTTATATTAAGTTTTTGAAATCCTTTATATATTCTATGCACAAGTCTCTTAACAGATTATGATTTGCAAACATTTTCTTCCATCTCTGGGTTGTCTTTACCTCTCTTGATGGTGTTCTTGAAAGTACAAAAATTTTTAATTTCTATGATTTCCATTTTATCTATTTTGTTACTTGTCCTTTTTCTTTCTTTCTTTTTTTGGTGTCCTATCTAAGAAATGATTGCCTGATCCAAAGTCATGAATATTTATACCTGTGTACATGTCTTTTAGTTCGTACAGTTAGATCTTTGACCTATTCAGAGTTAATTTTTATGTTTAGTGTAAAGGTATGGTCCAACTTTATTCTTTCTTACATTTGGATATCCAGTTGCCCCAATACCATTTTTTTAAATGATTGTTCTTTTTCCATTGGATTGTCTGGACACCTGTGAAAGAAAAACACTTCTGTGTGTCTCCTTTACTCTTAATACCCTGTTCATAGAATACCTCATTTCTGACACATGTGGTCACCAAATATGTGGAAGTTTTTCTCCACACCCAGCAATTCTGAGTTCCCTAGATGCCAGTTTGGTGTTGTAAAGATTTAACTCAATTCTGATACTATCTACCTGGAGATAACATCAGATTCCACAGCTTAAGGGCTCAGTCCCACAAGACTGTCCTTCCACTCACACTCCAGATGCCAGTTGCAAGTCCAGGTTGTTACCTGCACTTCTGATCAATTGGAAGGTCTCATGACCCCTTCCTCAGATGCAATTAGTCTGCTAAAGCAACTCACATAACTCAGGGGAACATTTTACTTACTAGATTACTTGTTTATTATAAAACAATATATAACTCAGGAATAGCTAGATGGAAGAGGTGCATGGGGCAATGTATGTGGGAAGGGGTGTGCAGCTTCCATGTCCTCTCTGGGGACACCACGCATTCTCCCAGCACCTCTAACATGTCCACCAACCCAGAGGCTCCCTGAATCCCATCCTTTAGAGTTTTTATGGAGGCTACATAACATAGGCATGAGTGGTTAAATCATGGGCCATTGGTAATTAATGCAACCTCTTTCCTCTCCAGGGGTGGGGTGGGTGGGGTGCTGAAAGTTCCAACATTCTAATCACATGCTTGATTCCTCTGGCAACCAGTCTCCCATCTTTAGGGGCTTTCCAAAAGTCAACTACTTCATTAGTGCAAACTCTGATGTTGTTGAAAAGGGGTTGTTGTAAATAACAAAAGGCATCCATTTCACGTTTATCCCCCTGGAGCTATTTCAGGAACTGGGAACAAAACTAAGTATTGGGACAAAAGATGTCCCTATGGCTCTTACATAGGAAATTACAAGTGTTTTAGAAGCTGTGTGCCAGAACAGTGGGCAAAGACCAAATATGTATTTCATATTAAAAATCATAATATCATAACACTCCTGTCAAAAATTAGTTGCCTATAAATGTATGTTTTAGACAATTCTATTCCACTGATCCATGTGTCTATCCTTATGCTAGTACTACCTACTGTTGATGTCTGTAGCTTTGTAGGCAGCTTAAATTCGTTAACTGTGAATTCATCTAACTTTGTTCATTGTCAGATTGTTTTGGCTATTCTGGGTCCCATGCCTTTCTGTTTGAATTGGAGGAATGGCTTTTATTTTTAATTTCTTCAGAAAAGTAGCTGAATTTTGACACATACTGTACTGAATCTGTAGATCAATTCAGAGAGTATTGCCATCTTAATATTAAACCATCTGGAATGTATTTTCATTTACTTAATTGCTTTCAACATTGTTTTGCAGTTTTCAGTCTTACACTTTTTTGGTGAAACATAATCCCAAGTTTTTTTTTATGATACTATAGATGGAATTATTTTATACTTTCATTTTGGATTGTTCATTGCTGGTAAATGGAAATACAGTTGATTTTTGCATATTGATCTTGTATCCTACAACCTTGCAGAACTTGTTTAACAAATAGTTTTTTGGGTGGATTTCCAAGGATTTTTTATTTACAAGTTTGTCATTTGTAAATAGACAGGTTTACTTACTCTTTTCCAATCCAGATGCCTTTTATTTCTTTTTCTTTACTAATTGACCTGACTAGAACCTCCAGTGAAATACTGAGTAGAAGTGATTAGAGCATACAGACACTCTTGCTGATCTTAGGAGGAAAACTTTCAGTCTTTTACCATTAAGTATGTTAGCTCTGGATTTTTCTTAGATGACCTTTATCAGGTTGAAGATGTTCCCTTCTTATCCTAATTTGTTGAGTGTTTTATCATGACAGGGTCTAGGATTTTGTCAAATGCTTTTTCTGCATCTGTTAAAATGATCATGTGGGTTTTGTTCTCTTAATATGGTATCTTAGTCCATTTTGGGGGCCTGCTGTGACAAAATGCTACTAAAAGGGTAGCTTATAAACCACAGAAATTTATTTCTTACAGTTCTAAAATCTGGAAATCCAAGATCAGAGTGCCAGCATAGTAGGGTTCTGATGAAGACCCTATTCTGGGTTGCAGACTGCTCACTTCTCACTGTGCCCTAACATGGTGGAAAGAGGCGAGGGATCTCTTCAGAGCTTGCTTTATAAGGGCACTGATCCCATTCATGAGTGCTTCGCCTAATCACCTCACAAAGGCTCCACTTCCTAATACCATCACATTGGGCATTAGGTTTCAACATATAAATTTTGAAGGTTCACAAACATTCAGATCATAGCATTTGATGTATAACATTGATTTTCATATGTTACCCTTGAATTCCTAAGATAAACCCCAGTTGGTCATGGTGTATAATCCTTTTTGCATATTGCTAGATTCAGTCTGCTATTATTTTGTTGAGAATTTTTTCATTTGTATTAATAAAGAATATTAGTCTTTTTTTTTTCCTTATGATGTTTTTGTCTCCTTTTGTAATCAGGATAATACTGGCCTTTCAGAATGAGTTGGAAAGTTTTCCATCTCCTGTTATTTAGAAAAATTTGTGATCAATTGGTATTAATTCTTCTTTAAACATTTGGTAGAGTTCACCAGTGAAGCCACCTACTTCTGGATTTTTCTTTGTGGAAAGTGTTTGATTATTAGTTTAATTTCTTTATTTGTTTACAGGTCTGCTCAGATAATTCTGTTTCTTCTTAAGTCAGGTTTGGTAGTGTGTGTCTTTCTATGAACTGTCCATTTCATCTAGGCTATCTAATTGGTTGGCATTGCACATTCCTTTTTAACATTAAAAATTTTTATAGACCACTTTTCAAACTTTCTGCTATTTTAAGATTGACCTTTCTACAATTAATGCAGATTAAAAGGTTTAAAATTATGTAGTTGTTACATATGAAAGTGGCACATTGGGAAACTAGCTTTCAAGACTCACCATTATTTTTATTAATATTTTACATTTTGCCTTTTAGGATTGTATACTCATCAAACAGCAACATAAAAAGCTATGAAGAGAAGGTCCTTAGGAAAAAGATAGTGGAGAGTGGAGTACCACAAAACAAAGGTGACTTCACTTTTGGAAAGTATACTGCCCATGATGGAAGATCATCTGTAGAGTCCTTAGGTAAAAAATCATCTGATTGTTTGCTTCTGAAGCATGAAATTCCAGAGGGTACCAGTGATGCAGACAACAATTTAATTTCCACTGGTGAGGTATTTTTTGTGGATTTTTATAAAATAGCCATTAAAGTAATTATATTCTGATACAATTAAAGAAAAGCATACTTCATAAATCAGTTCTATTCATCTTTTTTTAAATAAACAAATATAAATGAAAGTAAATTGTTAATGTGTAAATGAAAATACTAGTATTTAAATCAGTAAATTTCATTTACTAGAGTATGGCCAGATAGTTGACCATAAATAGTTGGTTAACTCCTAATTTTCAGAGTTGGGGTTATTATGAATAAATATACACATAATTCACAGTTCTTTTTTAAACCTCCATATATCATCATCCTTATTCTAATTTATATCAATAAAATCTTTAGCATATTATAGTCAGTTCTGTTATAATACAATGTATATGTTCCTTAATACCATGCAACACAAAAATCTCCATCATTTTGTCTTGACACAAAAAAATTACTAAAAATTTTGCTGGGACACATTTTAAAAAGACAGGAACCTAATAAATACAGTAGCATAGTTTTATACATGTTAAATGTTTAAGAAATATATAAATACTACAATAGGACATTTGACCTCAAAAAAAGACCTTTAGTTTGTAGAAATGAGTATCAGAAGGGTTACAGCTTGTGAATTACTGTGAATTGGTGGAAAGAGAATGTTAAGGATATTGACATAGATATAGTAGATATTCTAACAGGAAACTCAAGATCTCTGGATCAGAGAAACAGATTGTTTATTACTTACAAAGCATTGTAGTGCAGTTCCCAAACCCCAGTTCCCATAAGATTATGAAGGCCTGATGTTACCCTGCCTGTGCAGTGGGATTGCACTATAGTAGAGAACACCAAAATTAGGAGACTTTCAGAGGCTACTCGCAGATTTGCCCATCCTCTTCTATAGAGAAAGACAGACCCTTACTTTGGGAGGTAAATAAATCTTCTGTGGCAGGGGGAGGGGAAGGTAGCTTCACTACCCTGGAGTGTAAGGAAATGGTGTTGAGGGAGCATCACATTATCACTAGCTACCAAGGTATATTTTTGTTTAATCATTCTTTATCCAGATTTGCCAATGTTGTGCTCAGAAAGGCTAGACAATTCAGAGACACAAAAAAACTCATAGAAAAAACACACAGTTGGCTATCTGAAATCAGATGGAAATTTGTAACACCAGATATGGATGGGTGTGGCTCATAACATATACAGTGAATTGAGGTGTCTGGTAGATGTTTTAGGTGTTGGTGGGTGTTTTGTGTATTCTTACATGTCTCAGTTCAGCTGGGTGCAATTTTCTAGTTTTTCTTATGGATAAACTTGGATCTAAGCACATGAAAAATTCCCATAATGCTCAAATTATTTGCTAATACATCAGTTGTAAACTGATGTTCTCAAAACAAGTGTTATAACAGAAGTAAAGTATAGCAGATTCTTCATTTAAGTATTTGTTAGCTAAAGGATTTTATTACTGATATTTAGTGCAACAGTACTAACAATGAAACTGATTTAAACTCAGATTCCTCTTATATACATTCATCATCATTATTATGATGAATGAATGAATGTCTGTTCTAGGCTTGAGGTATATCCATTCAGATATTTTATCTCATTTAGTGTCAGATAACCCTAAGAAGTAAGTGGTTACAGACTGATGTCTATAGATGAGGACTATGTGACTGTATGACTCAGAGATTGTAAGGGACTTTCTTTCTCAAGGCCAGCCACAAAGAGTAGTTGGCAGAACTGGTATTTAGTACCCATTGCTTCTGCCTCTAGTTTAGGGTTCTACCTCAGTCCCTCAGTCCCACAACAACCCATTAAAGTGGACAAATAAGTTTTGAGTGTAAGTGAAAAGAGCTCATTTACCCCTCAACCCTTTGCCTTTTAACTAACTACTTTTTTGATTACTCCATAGAAAAAACCCATGTTTACCGGTTAACACACACCTGTTGTCCAAATCTCATTAACTTCTTTGCAGTCTTGCATCCTATCAACGCTGCCCTCCTAGAAGCTTTCTAGGCTTCTATGACACTGCTCTCTTGATTTTCTTTCTTGGTCACTGCTCAGTCTCCTTCATTGGCACATCCTCTTTCTGCCCCTTATGTAATTGGTATTCTCTAAATTTTTTTTTTGAGTTTTGTATCCAACCATAATAGATACATTTGTCTAAATATCTCAAAATTTAACCTGTTATTGGTTAATTGACCTAATCATCCACCTCCCCCAACCTGCTGTCTTCTTAAATACTGTCAGTGTGAATTATAACATCTTTCTACTCAGTTATATTCTTATCCTTCATTAGATTCATGACCATGTCTCTTGATTTATCTCCTAAATAGTATTAAGTAATTCTTTTCTTTATCCTCCTGCCATTTCTTTATTTCAGGACTTTGCTATTTTCCTTGAGAACTTGCACCCTAACTAGTTGCCAGGTCTCTTGGACCACCCTCCATTTATATTGTATAGAACAATGTTTATTACCTACAAGTCTGGTTATGACACTCCCCTTATTAAAATTCTTCAGTAGTATATTCTTAATATAAATCTCAAATTATTTCCCATGATACAAAGGGATTTTGTGAACTGACTCCTGATTAGGACTCTGCTGTCTCCTTTTTTCATAACCCTCTCCTGCTTCCAGAGCTCTAGTTTTACTGAATTACTTGGCATTTTCCCCTGAAGAATTGTATTTTGTTAGCTCTGTGCTTTTGCACTTGCTATTTGTTCCTAATCATCACATTTTTAAACTGAGTGTCAATGTTGTGCTAGGTTTTAAAGATTTAAGAGTGAACAAAATAGATTGTGTTCCTGTACTGCCGTCTAGTAGGACATATGTCAGGTGGCTTATGCACAAAGTATGATGAGGACACAAATAGAGTACATGTAAACTGGACTTAGGCTTCCAGAGTAGGCTACATGGAAGCAGTGATGTGTGAGTTGAATCCCAAAGAAATAGCAGGAGTTAACCAGGCAAAAGAATTCAGGGTAGAAGTATTCCAGGCAAAGGAAACAACATACCTGGAGGCAGAGAGCTAGGCAGATAGCAAATTTGGAAAATCAGAAATGGTTTGTTGTGGAATAGGGTAGAGTAGGCGCAGGAATGGTTACAGTAAGAGATGAGCCTGAACATGTAAGAAGAAGGTAGATTGTTAAGAGCCTTACATAAAGGATGACCTTATATTTTGTTGCCCAAACTGGGATACTTTTGAGAGAGTGAAAGGTGAAAAATAATTATTGCTATTAATTATTATGGGGCAACAGACATTAACTGAGACTATCTGAAACAAACTAAGACATGGTTACCTTCCTCCTAAGTTATCTTCCTCCTAAGACATTTTAGGGAATTTGGGTGGTACTATTTTAAGACTTACAGAGTATAAGCAGAGAAAGTTTGGGGTAGATGGAATGATGACCTCAGGTTGAGAAACACTGAGGTTGAGGTTTCTATAATTGTGGTGGTGCTTTTTTTCTTGGCACCAATTCTGACACCAAAAATGTGTGTGTTTTTTTCCACACACCAATCAATTCTCTGACAGCAACCGTACATCCAACAATTCAGTTCTGACACTAACTCAGAATTACTAAAGACCCCACAGGGTAAGGGCTTAGTCCTACAAGATTGCCCCCACATCAGGTGCTAGCTGCCAGTAGGTTACCTAGCTACTCTAGGGGAGTGTGTCAAATGACAGACCTTAAAGCACTTAGGAACCAGTTTGGTGTCCTTTATTCAAGGGGAAACAGTCCATGGATTGGGGGAGTTCAGCACCTCACAAGCAGTGGAGCACTCTTTCTGAGGGATACCATTTTATGCTAAACAAGAGAAGGGGATTTTGGATTCCTGGGTGGTGAAGGCAAATTCTAGGAAGATGAGGTGAGGAAAATATATGGTAAATAATGGTTGTCTTGTTAGGCAGATAAGAGTTGTGTCAAGTGATAAGAATACTTTCTTTCCTAGTAAGGCGCTATCTTTACAAGTGAAAATTTCATTTATAACTAAATTATTTTAAAAAAGGGAAAACTTATACTTTATTTTTAGGCAGTTAGGGGAGGTAAAGAGCTTTACCTGCATCTGCTGGTTCTCAACTACTTTTAGTTCAAAATAATCCTTATATCTAAAATGGCATATTTTGGGGTTACATACTCTGACCCCCTTTACTACCCAGGGCCTACAAGTTTGGGGGTTCACACTACCATCTATCTGCAAAGTTCAATAATTTGCCAGAATGACTCACAGAACTCAGGAAAACATTCTACTTACATGTTTACCAATTTATTATAAAAGGTACAACTCAGGAACAGCCAAAAGGATGCATAGGGCAGGGTACCAGGGGGAGGGGCAGTACACAAAACAGCTGTCTTTGCCCTTCTAGGGCATAGGTGTCTCCCAACACATAGATGTGTTCACCAATCCAGTAGTCCCCTGAATTTCATTGTTCAAGAGTTTTTATAATTCAATTTCCATACTTGGAAGTAGGGGAAATAGAGCTGAAAGTTCCTACTCTCTAATCACATGTTGGGTCTTTCTGGTGACCAGCCTCTATCATGAAACTATCTGGAAGCTCCACCCTGGATCACCTCATTATCAAATTCAGGTGTGGTTGAAAGTGGCTTGTTATGAATGCCAAAAGATATTCCTATAGTTTAGGAAATTCCAAGAGTTTAGGAACTCTGCACCAGGATCCAGGGGACAAAGACCAAATATAAGTTTTGATTATACTTACACTGTAATATATTCTCAGTAGGTAACTTGAATACAAAGTTCAGTAGGTAATTTAAATACAAAAATGGGAGTTGAGATAGTCTACATAGCAAGTAATCCATCAAATTAACGTGGTTTTCCTTTGAAAAGTTTCAAGATATTCCCTTTGTGTCAAAGATCAGACTCTAGTCTTTGAATCATCCAATGAAAAATATTTTTTCGGGGTATCTTTCATTAATTTATGTGCTTTAAGTCTTCTATAGAAATATCTAGAAGTAGTAGGATCTTCCCATCTCCCCTGCCTAATTCTGGTTAGAGTTTTTTGTTTTTCCTTCAGAAGTCCTCATTATGCAGTATTTCACACATTAATTTATTCAACAAATGTTTACTGAGGATCTATATATTAGGGCTTGTGGTGGGTCTAAGAGATACTTTGATGATTAAATGGACATATTTTAGAGAAGGTAAGTTGGGGGTGAAGATAGACAGTAAACATAATAAATAAATTAGAAGGTGATGTACTATAGAAAAAATAGGACAGAGGGGAACTGGGAGTGCTTGTGATGGGAGTTGCAATTTTAGGTGGGTGGTCAGAGTCAGCCTCCTTGAGAAGGGTTGATGTTTAAACAAAAATTTGAAAGCAAGTTAAGCAAGTGGATATCTGGGAAAAGAGTGTTCCTGGCAAAAGAAACGGCAGTGCAAATATCCTAAGATGACAACCTAACCTGCCATCTGGAGGAATGAGAAAGAGTTCAATGTGTAAATAAGCAAAAGAGTTAGGCAAATGAGGTCAGGGAGTTAATGAGGAGCCAGATGTTGTGGGGTCTGGTAAGCCATTGTAAGATTTTGGCTTTTACTCTAAAAGAAATGGAGAAAACCATATGGTTTTCAATTGGGATGAGCCATTATGTGAATTACATTTTAAAAACATGACTGTGAAAGCTTTGTTAAAAATAGACTGTGGGGGACCAGTTAGGATGTTACTGCAGAAATCCAGGTAAGAGATGAATGTAGTTTACAGTATGGTGGTAGCAGTGGAGATACAGAGGAGCAGTTGGATTCTGGATCTCTTGATAGAGTGGTTGGAAAATTTGTAATTTTGGTTAGTGGGAATCTGTCCTTAGGGACTGATCCTCACCAGATATACTGACCAAAGTTTCTGGACTGACAAAGCTGTGATACACAATGTAGTATTTTTCTTTTCTTATATATACATGTTTTATGTATTACTTCCCATTACCTAACTGGTGAGTCTTTTGAAGTAGAGACAATTTTTTTTTTTTGAGAGAGCGTCTCTCATATTTATTGATCAAATGGTTGTTAACAACAATAAAATTCTATATAGGGGAGTTAGTGCTCAATGCACAATCATCAATCTATCTCAAGCCTAATTCTCGTCAGTCTCCAATCTTCTGAAGCATAATGAACAAGTTCTTACATGGAGAACAAATTCTTACATACTGAATAAGTTCTTACATGGTAAACAGTACAAGGGAGGTTATCACAGAAACTTTCGGTTTTGATCACGCATTATGAACTATAAACAATCAGGTCAAATATGAATATTCGTTTGATTTTTATACTTGATTTATATGTGGATCCCACATTTCTCCCTTTATTATTATTATTAT